AAAAAAATCATTAAACGCACTGATCTGTTTTTATCTGTTGTACTATCGCATCAATCGATCGATTACATATACATATGATCGATGTGTGCGAGACTGCAAGATAGAAATCCTAGCGTTCCAGCGCCTCTTGTGTCAGAAATTGTAAAAGTACACTTCCCCCACTCCGCAACTGGGCGACGACGATGATGACGTTTCTTAATCTGAAATTCCTACATTTCGGACTTTGCATTACAATATCTCCGCTCGTAGGGCACGTACAGAAAAAATAAAGACACTTTCATTATACAAATCAAACCCTAGCTATCGATTAAGCCTAATTAGAACTTAATCTGTTCGACCGTTATTGAAATCTCAAAATCTCGGGTGCTCGCAACGCGACGGCTCGCGTTAAGAGATCCGGCATGGCTTGACATATATGACGTATCATTTTTATACTGATACATACATATATTTTATATTATATTTTATTTATATTTATAGTTTTTTAAACACTTGACATCAAGCCACTACCGTGTCTCCTGATATGTATCTGCACCGTGAATGAAGTGCAAATGAGGTGTAAATAAATGTACCTGTCTCTTCTGCCACCCCTTAACGGGTGAGTTCTGTAAAACACATGATACGCACAATGTATTATTATATCTTTGTTGTTTACCGAAAATAACATAAGAGCATGGAACTTGTTCCGTTTTATTAATTATTTTAAATCCTAACTAACAAATACCGCATATATAGATTCCAGACATCGTCGTTAATTTGTTAGATACCACAATATAAACAAATGGATAGCGAGAGAGACTTATAACTTGTTCTGTTTGATTTATTTGTGTTTAATAACAGTTACCAAACAAGTGGATCGACATCTTCGCCCGATTGTTAAATAATGGATTTTAAACAATTGCAATAGTTTAGACCGATTTCTAAATCCTAATAAATAATTACTGCATAGACAGATCTCAGATATCATCGTTAACTTGTTAAATATTGCGTTATAAACAAATGGATAGTGTGAGAGGATTAGAACTTATTTCGTTGAATTTATTAATGTTAAATAATAATTTTCAAAGTGGATCATTGATATTTTTATTCGATTATTACATATACTTTAAACAAATGCAATATTTCAATCCGATTTCTATTAACAATTACTGTACAAACACATCTCAGATATTGTCGATAATTTATTAAATGTCGTGTTATAAACAAATGGATAATGCGAGAGATTTAGAACTTATTCTATTTAATTTATTAGTGTTAAATAATAATTACCAAATAAATAAATCACAGATATCTTTAGATTGTTAAATAATAGATTTTAAACAATTGCAATGGTTTGGACCAATTTCTAAGTCTTAATTAACAATTACTGCATAGATAGCTTATATATCATCGTTAACTTGTTAAATATCGCGTTATAAACAAATGGATAGTGTGAAAGGTTTAAAACTTATTTTATTGAATTTAATAATGCTAAATAACAAATATCAAAAAGATGAATCATTGATATCTTTATCTGATAATTAAATAATATTTATAATTTAATATGGTAAATATTGATAACAACGGACCCAGCCCCAATGACCTTGACCTTCATGTATGTTGTCAAGGTCATGACCCTGAGTGATTATCAAGAGGTTTTAGCCGTCGCTCGTTATTCGTTAAAAAGTTATTAACAAAAAAAGTAACAAATATTATTAAATTATTATTAAATATTATTAAAATATTATTAAATTATTTAAAAAAAAGTATGGGCGCAGGCGCGGAGGGAGGTTGCAGGGGGGAGGGGCTCCGCTCCTCCCCCCGCCTATTATTTAGCCAATATCTATTGCAGAAACAGAAAATACGTGTTTTAATGCTCCTACTTGTTTAGTAAGGCGAAGATTTAATAAATATTCAGCTTACCTAATATACTTTCTACTTTGCATAAGGGTCTGTCTATTATTTAGCTAATATCTATTGCAGAAACAGAAAGTACGTGCTTTAATGCTGCTACTTGTTTAGTAAGGCGAAAATTTAATAAATATTCAACTTAATATACTTTCTACCA